TTTTTCCCTGTTCCCAAGAAATCCAGGGCTGTGCATACAAGAGAGCTCAACACCTAGACTGAGGGCCTGCATTTCCTAATAGCTCTGATCCCACTGAATTGCCTGAAAGGTGCACTCAGCACTAGGTGCTAAGCTTATTTAAAGCAGATGGTCATTAGCTCCTTCCAGGCTACTGTGAATAGCAAAGGAAGCATGGTTGTGTCTTGGAGGGACTGAAGGGAGGGTCTTTGCTAATCTGGTTGTACTGCCAGGACTGAAATATGCTCAGAGAAGCTCTTTGGTGCTTTTAAAGCCTGTCCTGGCACAGAGTGTTTTTCAGCTGAAGAATCGCCTTGCAGCCTATACAGAAAAGCCACCCATCGCTGCTTGTGCCAAGAGCTTGCCAGCATGTGAAGGCATGTGTACATGCAGAAGAGATGTGGCCATGGTCCTGGTTCCCTGGGGACTTTCAGATCAGCTGTGTAGATTTCAGAGACCCCCTTCTGAAGCTGAGAGTGAAGATAGGGCCCTGATTTTCCTTGTGTGGACAAGCCATGGCATTGCCTCCATTCCTCTCCCCCCAAAAAATGCCTCTGTGTGCCAGAGCAGGGAGCGGACAGAGATGGCCATGGGTCTTGAGGGAAGGCAGAGGCTCCCTACTTCTCCCACCATCACTGAATATAAGCTGGGATGGGTTCATTTCCGTAAGCAGAGGGCACTCTTCAATAGCAGTGAAACGGCTCTGCCTTTGGTATTGAGCCACTCTCAGCCCCATCTCATAAACTGCTGACTGTCTTGCTCAAGAGGCTTTCAGTCGAAAGCGATCCTTTTACGAAATGCCTCCCTTCCATCACCTTAAGTTAGTTACGCAGGGCGGTGGGAGGAGAAAGGGGAACCATGTCAGCACCCCACCCTTTGCTGCTCTAGATTCACATAGCAGGATGCAAAGCACTGACCCCAGCATAGATGTGGCCTGCTGTCCCTCGGTTAAGAGGAATTGCAACCAGATGTTTAGTGTTTGATCATGCTTTTCGCATTGTTCCTGCCTCTACCACAGTAATTATTCTCTCTGGAGGGTCATTTGGAGTTCAGCTCATTGGAGAAACTGCTATTCTTGATTAAAGGATTAGCTGCTTTTTCAAACATCCTTGTCTAATTGTACTCTGAAAGACACGTCACAGTATTCCAGAGCTTCTCAGTTAGCTGCCGAGTAGAGACATCTATAATTGTTCCTTTGGATGTTAAAAGAGAGATGAGGGATGTCAACAGCAAGGGCAGGGCATGTAGTGGTTATCTGAAGAAATGAGCATGCCTGGTAACATAAAAAGCTCACCAGTTCTGAGTGAAATTGAAACATAGACAAAAAGGTAGATGAAAATATATTGGATATTGCACAGATGCTGTTGAATCAACCATGTAAGAAGACACTCTAAAACTCTATTTTTCTGGCTATACTGATAGCACACACTATTACAAACTTTTGCAATGTTATCATGAGTCTCCTGCTGCTTGGTATATTCCTTAAATTACTGGCTCCTTTGGTCATCTGGTTATTTGAGAACTTCTGCTTTATTGATATTAAAAAGGCATGCCTCTGATAGAGAAAAATGGTTGCGCCCTTCAGAAACAAAAGGGCAAAATGCAGGTTTTTTTCACGAACTAGGTTCCCTTTATTCATTGATTGTAGAGCATAATTTTTTCCCAAGCCTTTTTTTCTCACAGTTGCTTTGGTTCAAGTCCTGATTTTGTGAACTGCAATAGTGAACAAATGCAGCTTGATTCTGTTTTCATTGTGTGCCTGCAGGGCCCGCCTGGCACTGCCCCATCTGGAGAACTAGCAACTCCGCAGGGCAAGTTTCCCTTTGCAGCCATTCTGCACAGCAGAGCAAGGTGTGGACTGTGTCAGAGGGACTTGTCAGCCACCCTTTTGCAGAATAAATGGTGGTGCACCTGTTAGGAAAGATGGAGAGAAGTCCTGGCACTAAAGAAACCCCTGATCACAGACCATCTCTGCTTTCTGCAATTATGTGTTCAACAAGTGAAGTGCTGGTGGCCAAGGAAGAGGACAACACGACATTGTCCAATGTGCAACTCCTTTCAGACATTTAAAAAAGCTGTCAGGCATCCACCAAGCCTCCAGCTACATCTCTGTTTTCCGTGTGAGGGAGCAGGAATTTTTTTTTGGCGAGAGAACAGGGAATTTTTGATATTGATGCTCAAGGACCATCAGTGCTCAGCACCTCTAGCACTTGACTAAGTCACTTGGCAGAAAGGGCCCAAGTGGAATTCTGAGCTGCAAATCCAGCAGACTCCTTTGCTTGGGTTGACTTGTACCTGGGGAGGAAACTCTAAGTGGGGATCATCAGTGACCTTAAATATCACAGTGATATAAAGTCCCCAGTGCACCTTTTTGGGGGAAAAGCAGGGTGTGGCAGGCTTGGCTCTGCTGCTGCTACTGACAAGGGGATGGCTCTCCCCTCTCCATGCAATGCTTGTGGGCAGTGAGCTGCAGCCTTTGAGACCTCTCCCCGTCTCAAACTGAATGTAAACTTTGCCTCTAGGTTCAAAATTTGGTGGTGTGAGCAGGAGGGCAGACAGCATTTCTGGAAAGCCTTTCTGCAGTGTGCGGGAAGGAGTTGGGAATTACTCCTTGGGAAATGTTCCTTTGCCTCAGCTGCAGCTTGGGGAAGCTGTAGGCAGTGGTCTAATAAGGAGGAAACTTTTGGTTGAAGCACCATAGAGACACTTCCCCACCTGTGAGGAGCCAGTACATGGGGTATTTCCCAGGGAGAGAAGAAACTCAGGCTGAAGGCTCTGCTTCACAAAACTCAAGACAGAAACTTTCCCACATCTGTGCCCAGGCTGTCACCTCTCTGGGGGCAAGGTGGTCCCTGTTTTGGAGAGGATGGTCCCTCTCTCTGTTAAGCCTCTTCCATACTGTGTGAATGATTATCTGCCTAAGGAGGGGGATGAACCTTTTGCTCCCAAAATGTGTCACCACCCCTCACATTACTGAAGCAAGCCTCCTCTGCTTCCTCAGGCATTTCTGCTGGAGTAGCTTTGCGGCCTCAATTATTCATTGGGCCAGTGACAGACTGGCATGTGAGAAGAAACTGAAACCCTGGGTTTCTGAGGCAGAACAGGGCTGGCTGAAGGTCATGCTGTGGCGTCAAAGCACGATGTCCGCTGGCAGAAATAACCATGAGATCACCAGGACTGTGCCGTGGGCTGACTTACTGTTTGCAGGTGTGAGTTTAAGCCACACTGGATACTTTAACTCCAATGACGTGACCCAAGCAAAGATAAGACTTTGCTTTCTTGTTTGCCTGCAAGGTCAAAGCTCCCTGAATCCCAAAGGCACTGGTTTTCCCTCTCATGGTGCTTCCCTTGCCCTGCGTGTGCTGTGTGGGGCTGGTGAGCATCTCCAGCAGCTGGGAGCCAGGGCACTGCTCGATGGAGGCCAGGGCCAGGGAGCCGGGGCACTGCTCGATGGCAGGGTCAGCACAGGGTGGTGGGAAGAGACCTGGCAGGTACGCTGGAGGTGCAGTGACTGATTTAGGCCAGAGCCAGCTGTTCCTGTTAGCAGCAGTCACTGACAATGCAAAAGAGCCTTCACCTCTAAAGATACTAATCAAGCTCTAACTTTGAGTTTTATACTGATCCAGTCTGGATCCAAGGCCAATTAGGGAAAAGATAAATGGAGACAGACTCCTGTAACCACTAGCAGCTCTGGCTTACGTCCCAATACCCACATCCCAGTCCCCTCTCTGGTGCTTTCGGTGGTGCTTGTGCCTTCCTCTAGCTGTAAAAACTACCCCAATGCCCTGTCGCTGTTGAATTAGATTAATTGCACAGCTTGTTGCCATCCGCAGGGATTTTTCCAGTGATAACTCTCATACTGGGTATTGCTAACATGCAGGCAGCCTTTCCAGTCAGTGCACAAGCCCTTTACTTTACATTAAAAGGCACGCTACGGATATTCAAGCACAAAATGTCGCCCTCCCTTAGCCTCCTTTAGTTGTTACAACTCCACGAGGCCTTAAACCTCACCGGAGCTAGCTCCCTCATGCTACATTAGGTCCTGTCTTTCCAAACTTAGGATCCCTGATGGGATGGAGGAGATAGGCTTGCGGTTGCAAGAGGAGACTGGAAGTTAAGCGATGTCCTGGGAAGCCACCCCTGCTGCAGGTGCCCCTCTAACTGTCAGCAGAGCAATTAGTGTAGATGAGGTAACAACCAATGCTGTGGAGGCAGATACAGGAAATGATACACAGTGTTTTGTGCCGGGAGCCACATTTGTAGCTTAAAATGCTCTGTGGTTTTTATTTTTCCTTCATGGTAGAGGGAAATAAGTGCTAGAATAACCCATGAGGAGGCAGAGCCCGGAAAGTCTTCAACTTCACGGGTCTGTGCGGGAAAACATCCTCCTCCACCCATGTCCCTGTGGAGGGCTGTGGGCAGCGTAATGCCAGTGCCACGTCCTCACCTGCCTCCTGTCCCCTCCCGGAGTGACAGGGGACACGGGTGTGTTTCCACAAGCAAGATGGCTTTAGGGCACAGGCCCTTCCCCAGTGCTGAGGGATTCCAGGGCTTACTGAGACCTCCTTACAGCGCTGGCCTTTCTGAAGAGGAGAGGAGCACCAAGAGGGCCTGCGGAGGGGAGCTCCTGGGCAGGCACAGCGCCTGGCTATAGCGCCGGTCCCAGGGCGCCCCCAGCCCCCTGACGGGGCTGGCGTCAGGCAGCCTCGCCTGGCGCTCGGCTGCTCCTCGGGCAGCCTGG